AACACATACATTTGCATTTATATAATTATTTCTTATTTGACGCCTGTCTCTTGTATCTTTTTTCTACTTATTTAGAATTTAGTATTACCATTTATATTTTCAGTCTTTGTTATTATATTATATTGTGATGTGTGAGCTACTGTGTCCAAATAATTTCCCTTGTGGATCAATAAAGTTTGTCTAAGTCTAAGTACAGGCTTTGGCGCCGTCTTCCTACCGGAGGAGGCAAAATTACTGGACATATCACAGCAACATCACCTGACGACTCTGAGGAAGACAGCGAGTGAGCAGTCGAAACTGTCAGGTATGTAAACAAACTCTTGGTCTGAAAAAAGAACCTAATGATACAGGATTTGTATTGTATTTTCCAGGCTATAGGGCGCGCTCTTAAGCCTCCAACCCCATCAAAAAACGACTGCACGCTCCGCAATCCAGAGCGCCCTATACAAGAATCTACTCGGGTGTCCCAACATGACTTCAGTAAACTACAAAGCCGCACCACCCGCAGCGCACGCAAACACGCACGGAGCAGACGAGGAATGGAACGGAGGAACAAACCGAAAAAGCGAGTGCAATGTGCCACTTCTACCCACAACTGAACAACTGAGTCACTGCGAACACGCCAACAATCCAGCGGTCCCAGACAGCACCCTCCCTACACGCCACAACTATGTCACAACAACATCTAACTTTTATGTTTCGTTTAAAGTCTGGTGCTTTTTTTATTTGTGAAAAAACTTTGAAAATAGACCATTCTATGACAGTGCATCTTATAATCCAGAACACACAATAGTGCAGAAAATACGGTAATTTGAAATATGTTTTAAAATTGTGTTGTCGTGATACTCAAATTTAAACTTGATTTTAATACTATAGAGAAAAAGCATGATACTCAAAACCAATTTCAATACAACCGTTATAAATAAAGAACCATGTAATCTAATACTTGTTCTACCTTTCTAAAGCTATTCAGAAATGGTACATGGTCACATTTTTTTATAGCTCTCTTCCACCTTCAAGGCATTCAAAGCCTTTACGTCAAGGAACCACTCATCCATTCACCCACACGCGTACATTCATATGCGAGGTGGATTAAGTGTCTTGCCCAAGGACACAACAACAGCATTCATCTGTGGGAGCTCAACCCATGATGATTATGTCCTGCTGAACTGAACAACCAACTGAAACACCATCACATCTGTTTGAACTATTTCTCATATTACAATTCCTGGATTGGATTTTGACACATTTTTGAGTTTTGTCTCAAATTAGGCCAATAAATTCTGTCCCCAAACCCCACACTGAGCGGAATCACATCGTAATTTTCAAAACTTCCATTATTCATTCCACGGTATCCTCAATTTTCCGTTTTACTTTTTAATGAACACGTCCAGTCACAAAAAAAACAAACAATTTGACACAAAATCCAACTTTAGTCCTGTATTTTAGCCTCACAACAGTAGAGTCCTAATGAATGTCTTGCCCAAGGACACCCCGGTAGTCCCCTCGCTGTGCCGTGGGACAGTGCGTGTGGTGTATTCTAACATTAGCCTGTGTTGGGTCAGCAGAGCGGGTTAGCCTCAATGCCGTGCACCTCATTAGGCCTGGCAGGATCCTAGTCCCGCGGTATCACAGATGTCATTATACTTTAATCACAAGTACTGCAGTAACACACACACGCGAGTACTCCGACTACACACAAGTACACACATGGAGGGATCATTTACACGCGCTTGGGTCTGAGCTGCGGATCGGAATATAAAAAGGATTCCGGGCCAAATACTAGAGGGATAGTGGTATTCCCTTCCAAGATTATTTCAAGGATTTGCAATCATTTGTTGAACTAATATATGCCCTCTCGCACAGGAGGAAAACAGTGAGCAAATATGGGCTGAGATATGGCTTTGAGATGTCTTATAAAATGTCTACAAAAAATAAAAAATAATATCAAAATGGCCGCAAAACAGAAGAAAAAACATCTTGTATTATGCAACTTTTTCCTGGTTTAGAGTCCTTCGTCTGCGTGTCTGTGCTATTGCTTTGTCAAATGTTCTACAGTATGGCTTTAAATGGAGTCTCGATATAGATAAGAAGGCGCAATCAGGCCAACTTACAGGTCAGATCTGTGGAGAGGTGTGCCAGCTAACAGTAAGAATAAATAAATGTAAAAAGACACTAATTTCAAAACGTTTTCATGTTCTTTAAAGGCCCTATATTATGTAAAATTGACTCTTGTGAGGTTTAAGCCACGTTTTAATTCTCTTCAAAGACATACATGACTGGTTAAAAGTTTTATAACGCCACACTTTTTCCACTTTTTTACTGTTTACTGTTGACCAAAACATATTCTAAACTTTTGACTCATGAAAGCGTCCACCTTTGGCAGACATAACAGCTGAACACACTCGTGGCTCGTTCTTTTTACAATAGAAATCAAATCTTCTTCAGAAAGTTCTTCCCAAGTCTGTTGCAGAAGTTCCAAAAACGTGTGGCACTTGTAGGTCGCTTGGCTTTTATTTTTCTGTCCAGTTCATCCCAAACCAGCTCGATGGGGTTTAAGTCTGGAGATTGTGCTGGACACTCCATGTTTTCAAGCTCTTCATCTTCTTCGTTTTTTCTTGAGGTAGTTTTGGCAGAGCTTGGACTTGTATTTTCTTATCTTTTTTATCTTTTTTTAACCTCTGGCTCTTCAGTTTTTACCTTTGTACCATTTCAAGCTCTTCATTGGACTTACACGACTTGGACTGCAATAAGTAACTGGAAAAAATTAGGGTGTTCTAAAACTTTTGACCAGCAGTGTATCTAGAGTTGTGTTTTATTTCATTCACATGTTTGAGTAATCCGGGTTTGTTTACGTCTTGACAGCTCAAAATGCTCTGTTCCACCCATTCCATCTTGTGATTTCATAAAGTAGTAGTTTCAAGTTAACAGCTACCTTTTATCGTTTGTTCAGTAGAGATTGGCAATTCAAGAGCTGAAATCACCCAAATGATTTTAGTCAAGGTGTAGAGCACATCCTATATTACCAGACAAGATCACAAAGCTGAACTGAACACCCTAGATATACAAAGTTTGTGCGTTAAACATGTGTGAATGAAACAAAATACGACTCCTGGTCTGCTTTTGACGAGGAAATAACATCATAACATAGATCAGAAAATGGGGATAAGATGAATTCTTGTAATGCCATACTGCAGAACAAAAACGTCACCGTGAAGACAGCATGTGGCCTCTGTCGGAAAAGTTCCACAGTGCATATCTAAACAGGATGCTGGATGGTGTGACAGTGTTTAGTTCTTGTGGTACTGATAAAGAAATTAGCATAGCGCAGGTTCTTCTCTAGTCAGCTCATAACAACACAGTACAAATTGACTCCAACGCTGAAGCTATGGCGTAAATACGAATCGCTACACTGTTTTCCTGCCAAACAAGCATATGCCAGGATGAAATTATGCAAAACATCACACCCGCTGTAGCATTGTGGCTCAAAGTGAATGAGAAAGTAGCAAAAACACTGGAAACTGGGACATTTTTCTTTCTCAAGCTGTTCTGATGGATAACAGGAAACATTTGGTCTTTTTGTGCACCTGATTGCAGACAGAGCCACAGCGACAGCCTCTTGCATCACCGGCTCACAAGGACATTTGAAAGGACTTCTTCAAAGAGCGACCAGACCGAACTTTTATATGACCTAAGTATTCGCTCAAATGACGCAATCGAACAAGCCAATCAGAACAATTCACTCTGTCCATTGATAGGAAGTAAAGAAAGCGACTGGTTCACGGAGGATTTGGACATACGATGTGATAACGATAGGTCATTGCGAGGTAGGGTTGAAGAAACCAACTCCAGCCACAAGAGGTCAGCAAACTGCAAGTATTTTTGTGGTTAAAGAGTGAATGCTCTTACAGTTGAGTTCATGTTCTGAGCATTATATTACATTACTTGGCTAGTTATTATTACATGGCTATTGGTATAAAGGCAGAGTAACTTTTAGATGACATCACAAAATGTCTGTTTATATGACGAGGATAACTAATATAGCGTGATTGAGCTTCAAAATGTGTGGATGGTCCAATTGGATATGTGTTAAAGGTGCAATATGTAACTTTTCTGGTTGGAGGACTGCCATGTGCTTGTGCTCCACGATTGCTTGGCTTGGCATGTTCCAAAATATAAACTTATTTTTCTCGAAATTTTGTTAATACCACATTATGAACCATTCTAGGATGCACCAATACCGATACCGGTTACTGACAAATAAGCTGGGTCAAGTATTGGTTCCATGATCTGGGTGTTTGGGATTTTAATTGGATGTAATAAGACTATTTACAGTCTAATTTTGGCCCAGAACGTTTCATAATGTTTGAACTTTTATTCATCGTTCAGTCGAGATGTGAAGGATAAATAACAGTTACATAACACAACTGGATCTCTTGTGTAATAGGTAACTGTGTTTTATAGCAAGTGTCATTTTCTATCTCTACACAGGTATTAGTTAATATTGGGTATCAGCAGATACTTACAGTTAAAGTATCAGTATCGGTATTGGAGCTGAAAAAAATCTGTGTAATTCTAGGGGGCAATCAATGACAACTTCATGGAGACAAATAGTTAATGGACTTTTCACTACAAAAGTTTTGTAATGTATATGACAAGATACAAAACACAAGTCCAAGCAACCTGCAAGTGCCACACATTTATGGGAACTTCTGTAACTTGGGAAGAACTTTCTGAAGAATATTTGATTTCTATTGTAAAAAGAACGAGCCACGAGTGTGTTCAGCTGTTATATCTGCTGAAGAAGGACACTTTCAAGAATCAAAAGTTTAGAATAGGTTTTGATGTACCTTTAATAATTTCTACATATACTATAAAACTGGTTGCTTTTTCTAAGAGAGAGAAATCAGAGCATTCATTTAGTCATAGTTCTTTTCTCTTACAAACTGTTCTAATCAGAGAATCAAGACTTATGTTGTATATTTGTGTTGGCGTCTTACGGTATATCTCCAGCACGACGGACGCCTCCTCCGTGTGCCCGTTGGCGTCCGTTGCCTGGCAGCGGTATATTCCTGCGTCTTCTATGATGGCGTTGTAAATGATGAGCCGCGATCTGGACGACTCTGTGTGGAGGGCCATTCTCTTGGACGCCACGATCCGCTCGCCTTGAGGGTTGAACCATTCTAGTCTCACCGGCTCGCCAATAGCTGAAAAACAACCAAAACAAACAACCATTATAGTTTTTCTTTTTTTATTCTGAAATATTATGCGTTGATGACATGTTCTATAAGTTCAAATAGTGTTATTGCATGGAAAAACGGGTCTGTTTCAGCACTTGCTTGGTTTACTTGTTAGTTTGTCTCCCTCTGCTGGTAACATTGGGTATTGACAAATTTCAAAATGACTAAATTAGCAGCATGGTAACACAATGTAAACAAATTATAGTCTTGTAATTTAGGCAAATTAAGATCCAAAATTATCTAAATGTTTCCAGATAGTTTATCATTTGTGCATTGTTTTCTCCGTGGTAGCTGCTGAACATTCCACCGTAGACATATGTAGAACACCCCCAGCATGATGTATCTGCAAAGTATCAGTGGCATGGGTTGAAACATTTGATTTTGCATGATATTTTTGTGAAAAACAGACATCATTATAAAGAACTGTCTTGGGATCTACGGCTCCTCATATGCCTCCAAGCTTTATAGTGTCCTGACTTTTCAATTGCGCCGATAAACCCAACATACAACCTTTGAGACCCCGCCATATTCCTCGAAAATATTGCATCTCCCATGAGCGGCATAAACTCGCCATCTCCTCCCTTAAAATAGAAAGATGCGAGCGTGCGGGCAGAGAAGCAATCCAGCTACCCGCTTTGTGCAAACCTGCTTGTAAAACGTATTCGATCCCAACACCTCGCCCATTAATCCACTTTACGAGGTTCCTGTTATGTCTCTGAATGTTTTTACAAGTATGTGTGGTATGACTTTTGTTTCGTCAGCGTTCGTGGAAGGCGATGAAGGTGGTTGTTTGTGAGTTATGGTTGGAACAGAAGGCTTTTAATGATATGATGATGTTGTAATCTTGGATTTACATAGATAATAAGTCTGTAAAGGACTGAGGACGCACACTGACTGTAAATTATACTGTTGTTTAGAAGAGCATGTTCAATTGCAAAAGCGGGATTAAATGCAGACAGAGAAAACTTAAGACATGCTCAAATTGATGGAACAAAAAAGTGTAATTAGATGTTGTATAATACAGTATGTCCAAACAATGGTGTCTCCAAACTAAATATGACAAATTACAATTTCAAAAAACAACATACAATAAAATTCTCAAATTGATAACATCTAAAGTAATGTAGGAGTGATGTGTAGACATGATTAGAGAAGAACATTTTGCTCTGAAGTAAAAATTTAAGAAAACACTGTGCTTGTGTCTGCTATATAGTTATAATCTGTGACATTTGTGGATCATTTTGTTATAATTTGGACTTCTAAAATTGCAATATTCATCTAAAAAAACTTAATAAAAGAAACAAACCCACTGAGATTCACATTAGAAAAACAAAAGAGCTGTGCAGTTGTTGACACTTTCTATGGATAGCTGCAGATCACACTGGCAAGCTTTAATTTTTACCAAAATTATTCAGAATTCTAATCCGAATCCTACATGTATCACAGATTGAGAAAATAAAATTGGAGAACGAAGTACAGAGCAGTGGGCATACACAAGTGGAAGAGTAAATGTGGGTTGTAAATGGGGAGCAACGATGTCGTGAATTCAGGGGTATAAAGAGTTACTCAAACACACTAATCACGCTAAACACAACTTCAAAAACATTTTTAAAAGCTCAAAACAACTCATTTTCTTCTCTTAAAATTTGTTTAAAAATGTATTTGTAACATTTATTCAAAATTGTTCACCCTTGTCCTTGTGTTTTTCAGCTACCGACTGCAAAAAATAAATAAATTCTGCATGAACTTCTTGTCGAACTTGATTGTGTCTAGGCCTGTAAGGTGACATGAGTGCCCCTCCAGCAGCAGGTGTCTGTGTCTGTAAATTCTCTTAATAAAAACGTCAGAGTGGAGGTCCATTACCAGCTCTCTCAATCACCCAGACCTTGAACACCCCCCACGCCCTCCTTTGCAAAGGGCACGTCCTTCAAGTCAACTACCACAAGATTAAAGTTAAGTTGGTCTAAGTTGACAAAATGGACTATAGATAACTTAAGAAAGCGATTCTGTTAAATGTTTATCAGCTATAAGTGAGGTGCCCTTGTGCAGCGTGTGTAGTAGAAGAGAAGGTGATGGTTCAATGGCACGTCCTAACAATGTTCTCACAGTAACAATGTAAGTCTGTCACCTTGGCGATCGAAAAACTGATACATGATGGAAAGAGCACAAAAAGCTAACAGTGCTATTATTTCTGAGAACCGTCTGAGAACCGTCACCATCATTAAGTCCTTGGCGTCTGTCTCAAGATCTAATTAGCGAGGTAACAAGATAAACGAAGCAAATATAAGCAACTCGGCAGCTAATTAATCCAGAAAAATTGTCATTTATAAAGTTTTAATTTTATTTTTGACTTTTTTTTTTGTTTTAGTTTTTTTAATTTAATATTATTTTATTATTTTTTTTTTTTTTTATTTAGACTTTTTTGTTTTAATATTGTTTTATTATTTTTGTTTACCTTTTATATTTAAATTTTAGATTTTTTGTTTTAGATTTTTAACCATTGTCATAGATGAATTTGGTCATCCAGAAAGTTTTTCATTTATAAAGTTTTTGTTTTATTTTAGATTTAATTTATTTTTATTTTTATTTTATTTTTTATTTTTTTTTTTTTTTTTTAGATTTTTTTTTTGTTATAGATTTTTTTTTGGTTTTTGCTTTTTTTAGTTTTAGATTTTCTTAGTTTTAGATTCAGTTTAGATTTTTTTTGTTTTAATTTTTTTTTAGATTATTTTATTTTAGTTTTTTGTTTTAGATTTTTTTGTTATAGATTTTTTTTTTTTTTTATCTTAGATTTTTTTGTTTTAGATGATTCAGCTTTAGATTTTTTTTATCTTAGATTTTTTTTTTTTATGTATATATTTTAAATTTTACTAGCTTTTTTCTGATATCCATGTATTTAAGTCACTAGAATTTCCCCTTTTCACAGCACCTATCTTAACATCTACGTCAACTACCAAGACATGTTTTATCCACTAGCATCATCGTATCATTTGCATAGTGAAATTATGCTTAACAGGATATTCTTCAAACATGTTCTACATCACTACTGATCAGAGAAAACAGCGTTGCCCTAGTCAGCCTCCCTCTAAATGTCTCTACAAGTTTGTGAATACCAAATGTGAATCTATGTCACAGCTGTCATAAGACCTGCTTAAACTGCCATTAGTAATAATTCAAAACGCTCAAACGATCTGAACGCATTTCCATTTCCTCTTGAAAACTCTCAACTTCAACCGACTGGCAGCAAACATGGCAATAAAAGTTTTAATATGACAAGCTGACTATTCAGAAGTCACCATAGCTCAAGTGTGAAATTACAACTTCTGAAAATGAGTGACTACAAACATGGCCGACAACAGGGGAGCAGGCAGATGTGAGGTACGGCGAACAATGGCAGTGGAAGAATGACAATTATAATGCACGAGCTCAAACGGAAAATTGTCAAACATTTTCTTTTGTATTGTCAACTTAAGAATTGACTTTATAACTGGCACGCTCATAAAACACACAAACATACAAAGTTTAGTTGAGGACGCCAAATACTTTTAAGCTCCACTGTGTAACTTCAGAAACAGATGAAAATAAATGACTTTTTCTTATTATTACTGCACTGAAACACATGTGTGCTCACTGTGGGCGGGCTTGCGTCTCCACAAACCTGACTCTTACTGCTTGTCGCCATGGAAATGTTGTGTCTTTGGCTATAACCGTCCACAGTACAGCTTAAAACCTATCTATCTCTGTGAAGAATGTTCCGAAGTATGGCTTTAACTTTTTATTTCCATGGAAGCTGGTGACAGGTCTTCTCCAAAAAGTTACGCAATGTTGCTTTAACAAAAAAAACAAATATAAAATGAAACATGCATACATTTTCCACATTTTCATAGTACTACTATGACTTAACAAAATATATATTTGTTAAAGTTATTGTAATAGTAGTAATTATATCTCTTGAAGTAGTAATAGCAATTGTTGTAGTAGTAGAAGTTCTTGAGTAGTATACTGAAGTAAATACCTGCTACTACAACTGCAACTGCATATTCTTCACTAAAGTTGTTGTAATAGTACTACTTTATAAGTAGCACAAATAGACTTTGTTGAAGTAATAACAGTAGTAGTAGTACTAGAAAAGGTTTTGAGCAGCATTTTGACGTAAGCTATTACTACTACTACTACTACTACTACTAAGCTATTACTAGTAGTAGTAGTAGAAATTCTTAGTAGCATATTGAAGTAAATACCTCCTACTACAACTGCAACTGCAAGTTAGTGTAATAGTACTAGTTTCTAAGTGGCCCATTTAGGATTTGTTAAAGTAATAACAGTAGTAGTAGTAGTAGTAGTTGTAGAAGTAGTAGTACTAGAATAGGTTTTGAGTAGCATTTTGAAGTAAGCTATTACTACTACTACAACTACTATTACTACTACTACTACTACTACTACTAAGTTATTAGTACTTCAACAGATATAATTAATACAATGACTTAACAAAATATATATTTCTTAGTTAATGTAATAGTAGTAATTATATCTCTTGGAGTAGTAACAGTTGTAGTAGTAGAAGTTCTTGAGTAGCATATTGAAGTAAATACCTGCTACTACAACTGCAACATCTTAGTCTTAGCTAAAGTTGTTGTAATAGTACTAGTTTCAAAGCAGCACCAATAGGATTTGTTGAAGTAATAACAGTAGAAGTAGCAGAAGTAGTAGTACTAGTAGAAGTTTTTGAGTACCATTTTGAAGTAAGTACTACAACAGCTCAGTCTTAGCTAAAGTTGTTGTAATAGTACTAGTTTCTAAGTAGCACCATTAAGATTTGTTGAAGCAATAACAGTAATAGTAGCAGAAGTAGTAGTACTACAACTACAAGTACTACTACAACAGCTTATTTAAGTTATTGTAATAGCACTAATTATTATATCTTAGAAGTTTCTGAGTAGAATTGTTGAAGTAAAGTAAGTAAAGTT